TGATCTTATTGGAAAGGCCTCTAGTATGTATTTTTATATAATATTGTCTTTTGGTTTTATATAGTTACTGTTTAACATATTAAGGGAAGGTCCACTTATTCCTGTTCTTTCCAGTGTTTTTAATAGAAACAGTTGTTGAATTTTGTCAAAAGGGTGTTTTTTGCACTTATTGATATATGATTTTTACTGTTCTTGTTATTAACAAAGTCAGTTATATTTATGGTTTTCTTAACATTAAACCAACCCTGAATTCTGGGTATAATAGCATGTAATCTTTATGACATATTGCTGCAGCTTCTTTGTTAATATTTTTATTTAAAATTTGTGTGTCAGTATTCATTATGCTCTATAGCAGGGGTCCACCGTGATTTCATAGATTTAAGGGCATCAGTGAATTTGATTTTGAAAATATATTACATATTTATTTTACTGGCCCCTAACTAAAGTTTAAAAATGCTTTCAGTTACAAGTTTAGGCAACAAATATTATTTTGTGAAGGGGTCCATAGACTTCATCAGACTGCCAAAGGAGTCCATGACACAAAAAAAGTTAAGAGCCCCTGTGATGGTTTTCTTTCTCTGTTTTCCTTGGTTTAGGTATCAAAACCATGTTTATATCATACAATGAATTTAATAGGATCCCTTCTGTTCCTGTCTTGGCAATAAAGTTATATAACATTGGAATTAATTATTCTTTGAACATTTGATAAAATTCACTTGTAAATCCATCAGGTCTTGGGATCTTTTTTTTGAGAAGTCATATATGACTTGTTTACTTTCTTTTCTTTTTTTCTGAAATTAGACTATTCAAGGTCTCTGTTTCTTGTTCTTTTAATCTGGGCATTTTATTATTATTATTATTATTTTGAATGTACTCATTTATTTCACTTAACTTGTCAGTTTTATTGGAATATAGTTGGGTAAAATATTTTAATAAGTTTTTTTATTTCTTCCCCATTTGTTGTGAACTTTTTTCATTTTTGATACTAGTAATGAAGGACAAACAACAACTTAGTTTTCCTCTTTATTATTTTTAATGCTTTTTACTTTTCCCCTGATTAGAATGTAAATACTTAATCCTTATATAGTCCTTTCTAATTGCTCTTTACCTTTTAATGTTTCTCTTGACTCATGTCTTTGCATTTCAGTACTCCTCTCTGGTCTTTTTTTATCACACATATTTGAAAACTCTCTAGTTCATTAAAGGTCCTTTTTCCCTCCATAGAATTAAACTCAGTTTTCCTGGGCAAGTTATTCTTTATTTTTGCCTATATTTTTTGCCTTTTGGAATATTGTATTCCAAATACTCCTTTGTTGTATAGAGATATCTGCCAGATCTCATGTAATCATACTTGTAGCTCCTCAGTACTTGAACTCTTTCTTTCTGGATGCTTTGTTATTTTTCCTTTGATCTCCTAAAGTTTGTCTTGTGACTGTGATGCTGCTGGAAGTTTTCATGTAGGAGTTTCTTTCAGTAAATGACCAGAGGAGTCTTACTATTTCACTTTGCTCTCTGATTTTACTAGGTCTAGAGAGTTTTAATTCATGATTTTTTGAAATCTAGGCTCTTTTTTGTTGTTTTTGGTCCAATTATTAGAAATATTTCTCTTCTTGACCTTTTTCAGGTCAGGTCTTTTTTATATGAGGTACCACATATTTGCTTTTTTTTTAACTCTTTTTAAAAAATATATTCTTTATTTCCAAATTCGTTCCCTCCATCCATCCATACCATATATTTTCTTATTTTTTTTAAGTCTCTCAGTTTTTAGTAGAGTCATTAACTTATGTTTGCTCCATTCTGATTTTCAGAATCTGTTACTAGGATAAAGTTTTGTACCTATTGTATTAAGCTATTAATTCTCCTTCCAAGTTTTTCCTGTCCTGCTCTCATTTCAGCTGGGTGGTGCTTGGATAGGTAGCTGGAACTGGCTTCAGGAAGACCTGAGTTCAAATTTGGCCTCAGAAACTTAATATCTGTGTGACCTTTGGCAAGTTGCTTAATCTGTGCCTCAATTTCCTTAATTGTAAAATGTGCATAATAATAACACCTACCTCTCAGGGTTGTTGTGAAGGTCAAATGAAATAATATTTGTAAAGCACTTAGCACAGTGCCTAGCAGATAGTAGATACTATATAAATCTTAGCTATTAATTATCTTTATCATTATTTCTTCTCCAATCTTTTCTTCTAGAACTCTTGTTTGGTTTATAATGTGATTTTTTTTAAACCTTTGCTTTTCTTCTAAGAATTCTAGTTGACATTGGGGGCAGCTAGGTAGCGCAGTGGATAGAGCACTGGCCCTGAGTTCAAATCCGGCCTCAGACCAAACACTTGACCCTTACTAGCTGTGTGACCCTGGGCAAGTCACTTAACCCCAATTGCCTAAAAAAGAAAAAGAAAAAAAAATTCCAGTTGACATTATGATGGAGAAGTATTTTTCTTTAAAAATTTGTAGATGTTATAGAATTATTCTCTTCTGAGTTTGTGTCTTGGGTATTCCCACAAGATAAATATTTATGTTTTTTGTTTGTTTTATTTGTTTACTCATTCTTCCAGCCTTATTTCCTGAATCCCGGCTTTATGTTAGGGTTGGGCTCTGCATAATTTAGGAGAAAATCTCAGGCCTTTTTTGGTCCAGGTCTATATTCTTGTTCTGCTGCTGCTTTTTCCAGCTATTTAGATTTATTTAAGTTCTTCAAGGAACTTAAGCCAGAGACCTATAAACTTTCAGCATTCCGTAAAGGTTGAGATCTAAGATGAAGTTTGATTACAGCCCTTCTGGTCTGAGCTTTGTCAGCTCCCAACCCTATTTTGGGTGCAGCTGCAGATTGTTGGAGCTCCAACAAATAGCAGCTAACCCTAGCCCCAGTCGGAGAGCTAGAAGGCTGTGCAGGTCCAAAGCCATGGAACCGCAGGGTCTCCCTATGTTGTTATTCATCTGTGGGCCCCAACCTGGGTCTGTGATTTGAATTCAAGATGCTGCTCTGAGGTCCAAGTGACAGTTGCTGTCTTGCTCCTGTGCTTCCTGCTTAGTATACAGCCTCAGGCTGGATTAGTAATCATGCCCCTAGCCCTGGTATACAGCTGCAGGCCACAGCTGTATCAGTCTTGTCCTGGATCAGTGACCTCATTTTGGAGTCAGAATGACACAGCTTACTTCTTGCCTCTGTTCCTGCTCTCCCCAACGTGAACTGCACGCCCTGTCTGCAGTGGATCCACATCTGCTTCTTGTCCTGACATATAGCAAGCATCCTCTCCATCCCAGTCTCCAGGCTTCAAGGCTGTGTACAGGCCTTGCTTGTTCGATCCCCTCCCAGCCTTCTGGCTGTCTTTCTGTGATAATCTGGGTTGGAAAAGTAACCCGTTGTGGTTTCTTTTTGGATTTCCTGGTGACTAATAAGTCTTATTGTTCTTCAATCTTTGCTGGAGTAGTTGTAGAAGAGAGCTAGCCTGTACTCCTTCCTTCCATTGTACTATCTTTGGTGGTCTCTAAATATTTGTTTCTGTTCTCTGCCCCCCTGATTGGATGTGAGTTCTGGGGCTAATCTCTCTAAAGCTTAATATCTAGAACTGAGGTTGAAAAACATATTCCTTGTTTATAGTGGAGTAACTGGAAAGAATTGGGGATGAAGCTAAGCAGTAAAAGAGAAGGAGCATTGAATCAGGACCTTAAATTGGAAGCGTCTGTCCCCATTTCTAACAATCTAATATAAACATTAAGAAAGTAAAGGAGGCTTTAGGAGACTCGAGTGGTTCCATTTCTTTAATGAACACCACATTCAACTAAGTGTTGTTCAACTAAGATGAATCAATCAGTCAACATTGATTAAATGCTTACTATGTGCCAGGCATTGTGCTAAGTATTGGGGATACAAAAAGAAGCAAAAGACAGTTCCTGCCCTCAAGGAGCTCACAATCTAATGGGGAAGACAACATATAAACAGAAACATAAGGAAGGCACTAGAATTAAGATTTCCTGTAAAAGACAGGATTTTGATACTTAAAGAAAACAAGAGAAGTCAGTAGGCAGAGTTGAGGAGGAAGAGCATTCCAGTCAGGAGGTAATGCCAGAGAAAATGCCTGGAACAGAGAAATGGGGTGTCTGGCCTCTGGAACAGCCAGGAAGGAGGTCAGTGTCACTGAATTGAAGAGTACCTTGGGGGGTAAGGTAGGAAGGAGCTAGGTAATGAAGGGCTTTGAATGTCAAACTGAGTGTTTTGTATTTGCATCTGAAGACAATAGGAAGCCACTGGAGTTTATTGTATAGGGAGCTGACCTGGTCTGACTTGTACTTTAGAAAAATCACTTTTGTAGCTGAATGAAGGTTGGATTGGAGTGGGGAAAGACTTGAGGCAGGCATACCCAGCAACAAGCTATGATGGTAATGAAAGATTAGGGTGTTTTTAAAAATTTAATTTAATTTATTTTTTTGTTACATTTTAAATTCTGAACTGTCTCCCTCCTCAACTCACATTAGTAAAGGTTACCATTTGACCTATGTGTGTGTGTGAATGTATATATAAATATATATAAATGCATATATATCTCTAAAACCATACTATACATAACTTCTGTTTATTAGTTCTTTTCTGTGAAGGTGGATAGCATCTTCCTTCATAGATCCTTTATAGTTGATTTGAGTATTTATAATACTTAAAATAATTTTGTCATTCATAGGTATTCTTCAAACAGTACCTCTGTTACTGTATACAATGTTGTCTTGATTCTGCTTGTTTCACTTTTCATTATTTCATGCAAATCTTTCTATGTTTTTCTAAAATCAACCTGCTCATCATTTCTTTCAGCACAGTAGCATTCCATCACAGTCATATACTACAACTTGTTTAGCCATACCCCCATTGATGGATATTCCGAGAACAAGGTTTAACAACATTCAGTAGGAATTCTAGGATTTCATTGGGGCTGAGTGCAGAGTGAAAAATTTGTAATGGTAATTATTCTCCATCCCCAGTGACATTTCTCTTTTTTCCCTGTCTGAAGTTGAATGAGCTGGTGGTGGGAGACACTGGTGGGAAGCTGTCAGTGTACAAGAATGATGACACCCGGCCATGGATCACCTGTTCCTGCCAGGGAATGGTCAGTATTTTCCTCTACGAGGTTCCAAGAGGGGTAAATTGTAACTTTTCTCTTTGATTTTTACAAAAGTTCTTGTATGAGAAACAGCAAGGAACCTGTTCAGGCTGAAACATAGATGACATGAGGGAGTTTAGTCTGTGACCAGTCTGGAAAGCCAGGGTGAAGCCATATTGCTAATAGCATTTAAAGACATACCAGACTCTTTGTCTGGAATATATTCCCAAGTCACCTCTGCCTCTTAGAATCCTTAGCCTCCTTCAGAGCCAGCCCAGGTCTTCCTACATGAAGATCTGCCAAGTTGTTGGTTGTCTCTCCCTCTTGAAATCACTTTGTATGTCTTTGTTTCTCTATGTGTTGTATTCCCCCACTAGACTGCAAGCTTCCTTAGGGCAAGGACTGTTTCCTTTTTGTCTGACTCTCTACCATCGAGCACAGTCTTCTTTATATAGGAAGCTTTTGATGTAGGGAGCACTTAAACTGTTGAATTGAGAGATATCAGCTCGTGTTACTGCAGTTCTTTTCAGCTTGTTTGTACGTATAGCCTGTAGCACAATAATGTGTTTGTGTATGCAGAATACATACATGGACAAGTTCTCAGCGAGTGATAAATATTAAAGCTTTTCCTCCTCCCTGATTCATCCCAGAAGGATCAAGGTAAATTGATATTTCTTTAACACTTTGTGACTCTCTGTGACCATCTTCTCTTTTATCTTGCAGCTTACTTGTGTTGGGGTAGGAGACATATGTAATAAGGGAAAGGTAAGCATTCTGATTTACCTCTGATAACTGAAGAAATTGTGGTTCTCATTCCTGCCAACCCCACTGAAAACAGTGACTCTGACCTGGCCCTCCTTTAGGACATAGTAGGTGGCTCTGTCCCTTCTTTTTTTTTTCTTTTAGGCAGTTGGGGTTAAGTGACTTGCCCAGGGTCACACAGCTAGTAAGTATTAAGTGTTTGGTCTGAGACTGGATTTGAACTCAGGTCCTCCTGACTTCAGGGCCAGTGCTCTATCCACTGCACCATCTAGCTGCCCCAGCTCTGTCCCTTCTTAAACATGACACAACCAGCCCTCTCTTATCTCTTTACTTTCCTCCACTCATCAGTGTTTCTCATATATCCTTGTTTCTCTCAGAACTTGGTTGTGGCAGTAAGTGCTGAGGGCTGGTTTCACCTGTTTGACCTGATGCCTGCCAAGACTCCAGATACCTCTGGGCACCATGAGGCACCAGCGGGCGAGGAGCATCGACCAGTGTTCAAGCAGCACATCCCTGCCAACACCAAAGTCATGCTGATCAGTGATATTGGTAGGCCTCAGTGGCTTTTCAGGCACCCATTGCGTAGAGCAAGAGTCAGGTGTCAGAGGAAGAGAAAGGGCAGAATAGTCAAAAAGAAGAGAGCCCTGGCCTTTTTCCCCTCTTAGGGGAATGAGCACTGTAAGATCATATATCATGAGGAGAACAGATCTCTATGAAGGTGCTATAACTCTTAGGCTAGGCAGTTATAGGGGAGTGCTTTCTAGGTAGCTATCCATAAATTGTTCATGGTGGAGAGAGAATTGAACTGGGCAGGTAGGGGAAGACAATAGCCTAGGAAAGAAGAACTAAAGGAGCAATGATAAAGTTGGATAAGAGGGTGCTTTGAGTACAGTGGTTTGAGTTTAACATTACTGTGGGTTGTGGATCATAGATTAGTAGATAGTAGATAGATAGATAACCACTGTATAGATAGTGTTTTAGTAGATAAGTTGGTAAAGGGTATCAAGGTGGATGTGTTGTAGAACAGATCATGATATAGACACCAGAAAGAGGATGGGAACAGTAGTGGGGAGAGCAAGTATGGTTAAGACCAATGGGCATAATTTGAGCTCTAGACCACCCCTTATCTCTATGTCCACAGATGGGGATGGGCGTTGCGAGCTGGTGGTGGGCTACACAGACCGTGTGGTGAGGGCATTCCGATGGGAGGATGCCAGTGATGGCATGGAACATGTGACTGGACAGCTGATTTCACTTAAGAAATGGCTACTGGAGGGACAGGTGAGCAGGGGGCATGGAGACCGTGAATCAAGGCAGAGAGGGGAAGGACAGCGTAGGGAAGGTTTGATAGGTTGACCAGTTGAAGGTTGAGGCAGGAGGGGATCTTGATAGGGAACATCAGAAGGATCCATTTTGGGATTGAGGTCTTGGGACAAATTACTGTGGGAAGCAAGGGCATTTAGGAAAAGTCAGCAAAGAGAGGATAGTCTAATATGGTTACTTTGGAAACTCCAGAATACATCCTGGTCTGTGCAGCATCCTTCTACGGCGCCCTTTCCTCCTACTACATGTAGAATACCATTTCTTTCCTTGCCAAACTTCTCATCTTCCCAAATCTACCTTAAATCACCTCTCCTTGATACAGGTAGACAATCTGTCAGTGACTCTGGGGCCTCAGGGAACCCCTGAACTGATGGTATCCCAGCCAGGCTGTGCTTATGCCATTCTACTGTGTACCTGGAACAAGGGGCCCCTCCCTGTCCCTGAGGAGAATAACAGGTAAGATCAGCTGGGGGCAGCAGTATATATGTTAGAGGAGTAAAGTTAGTGCAGAGAAGTAAGATGGACTCAAGGATAACAAGTCGTGGTGAGAAAGGTTTCTGAGGGCAGGAGTCCCTTAGGAAAGGGCTCAGCATGAGCTGAGCACAGCCCATGATACAAGCTTGGAGTTGGCAAAAGTTTCATCATCTGGGGCCCAGACCTAAACCTTTACTGCGTAGAATACATTCAAGGACTTGGGGAACTTTAGTTTCCATTTCTGCATTATCTAGAAGAGAGAGCAAAGCCCTCCTCATTTCCCTCATCTTTACTTACTGCTTTGGCCAATAAGTCAGCAAGGGGATGAATACATAGAATGTTCCATAATCCCAATGACAAGGATACTCTTTATGGAGACCTCAAGCTGGCTCAGGTTGTTTGGGAAATGCAGTTCCTTTGACTTTCTATTACTAACAATAATAGTTGGAAATTATTTGATTTTTGCACCAGCCCTGTGATGATACTTCAGGTATTATTTTTCCCATTTTGCAGATGAGGAAAGTGAGGGTCAGAGAGGTTAAGTGATTTACCCATCTTCACACAGACACTGTAAGTGTCTGAAGCAAGATCCTGGGGCTCTCCATACTCGTAAGTCCAGTTTTCTTTCCACTATACCATACTCTCTATCCACTAAGTCTTATATTCTTCTGCCCATAGAGAGACCCCTGCTGTTCGGGATGTCATCCTGCACCAGACGTCTGGCCGCATCCACAATAAGAATGTTTCCACCCACCTCATTGGCAACATTAGACATGGTAAGGAAGGCCAGTGGGAGAAGGAATTGTTCCTGGGAGTAAAAGAGATAAGAAAATCCTCCCACCTGGACCTTTTGCTGCACCCAAATGATGACCCTTCAATTCTGCATTTTCCCTCTGCTAGCTATACTTCCCCTCCCAGATCCAAGTCATCTACCTTAGCCTCATTCTCCTAGCTTTGTTCTTGCTCTCATCTTCCTTATGTACCTCACCGATTCCTTGATCCCCTTATCTTTTTATTTCTTGCAGGCCGAAGCAGTGAGAATAGTGGCTCAAGTCTCTTTGCCCTCTGCACCCTTGATGGTGAGTTGCCACACTGGCTTTCTCTGTGGTGGAGTAGAAGAAGCAGTTGTACACCCACTGGTATACAACTCAGAGTTTAACCCACCTGTGTTTTTTTTCCCTCTGCAGGAACTCTAAAACTCATGGAGGGAGCAGACAAGCTGCTGTGGTCAGTACAGGTGGATCATCAACTTTTCGCCCTAGAAAAACTGGACGTTACAGTGAGTGGAAGACTGGGTAGGGAAATGACATTTCTCCTTCCCTGTGGGCCAGTAGTAAATCGAACTTTTTTATACTGCAGCTGAATTTCTGCCATCCTCATTAAACATCGAAAGAAAATAGCATCATTCACTTAGAGTTCAGCCGAGCCATTTGGAAGTGAATTTAAACTGCCCTCCCATCCCAGCAATCTATATTTGCCTTAAATTTGTATCACTTTGATATTTTTCAAAATTAATAATGATGATATAGATCATAGGGCAAATAAGTGGCAGTGGAGACCTACCGACTTAGTGTAGGCCTAGCTCCAATATGTACTGGATTTTTTTTTTTGCATCAGCTGCTCTTCCCTGGATAGAGATATTTTCCCTAAGTTTAGGGAAGGGGGGAGCTTTGATTTCCTTCCTGGTGGTATTGTTTTCCATCTCCCACAATGTTTATTTTCTGAAAGCAATGGCCAAAACCCACTTCAGTTTTTTTTAACCCTCAAAGAGATCCCTTCCCATTCCCACATTCTTGTCATTCCCTGACTGCTTAGGGCAATGGAAGTGAGGAGGTAGTGGCATGTGCCTGGGATGGACAGACATACATCATTGATCACAACCGAACTGTGGCTCGCTTCCAGGTAGATGAGAATGTCCGTGCCTTTTGTGCAGGTAAGCTTCCCTGCCTTTCCTTTGATTATCTAACACTCCATACGTTTTCCTTCTTGCCTCTATGCAGGTTTTGGTAAACAAGCTATGCTTTACAAAATGTAATTAAGGTATAATAGAAAGAAAACTGGACTTATGGTGTTGTGTCACATTACTTTATTCAAGGGTAGTAGTCATTCTCCTTTTCCACTGAAGAATTATAATAAGAAGAAGCTAATGTGAAAACTCGATAACAAATGTCTGGTGAAGGTCACAAGACAGAAATGATTGATTAAGGAAGATCATGGAAATCTTCCCTGGACATCTTTAATAACAGGAGAGAGTCTTATCTATCTGGAATGGTTTAAGCTACTGTCCTGTCTGGACCTAGGGGAATGGAAATGAGTCTTCTAAATGAGAAATTGTTCTCTTTATTTCTAAGTTAAATACCTTGATGAGCAATAGGCCAGTTAAAGAACAATTAGTAAACTGAAGCAATAACTTAGGATAATATATACTCAGCATATACTCTAGAATACATAACTCTGGAGACCTGCAAGGCTTAAGATATCTTCCCAGGAAGGGGCTAAAACCGTAGAAGAACCTGGCTATGTAAGTGCAGACTGGGAGTTCCTGATTGTGTCTTCCAAGTCTGGTCACTCAGATGCTATCATCTCAGTGGGAAAAGTCTTCAAAAAGCACTTTTTGGGCAGTTGATCTTTTTGTTGCTGCCATATCTAGACAAGGAAATATCTGCACATCTGGTTCAAATGCTTTACAATAATCTGTTTTTAGTAGTAGCCCAGGAGTGATAGAAAGAAAATAGAGGGATAGCTTCATTTCTTTTGCTCAGTACTCAAGGAAGGATATAAGACTCTGCCAATTCTAATCCCAAGATCTTGTTACCAACCTTATCATTTGTAGGCATGAACCATTAAACTTTTCTTTGTCCTCTACCTTCAGGCCTGTATGCCTGCAAAGGAGGTCAAAACAGTCCCTGCTTAGTATATGTGACTTTCAACCAGAAGATTTACATATATTGGGATGTGCTGCTTGAGCGGATGGAGTCCACCAATCTGGTGAAGGTGTTGGAGGCTGAGCCAGAGTACCGGGGCCTACTACAAGAATTGGATGTGGGTGAGTCCTTCAGAAAGTAGAGAAGGGGAAGTCTGGCACTCTGGGTTTCCCAGGGATCCAGCAGTTTCCCATGGTTCCTTTCTTTGACCCTAGATCCTGATGACCTCATTGCTGTCCGAGCATTGCTCCATCAGACACTTTACTATCCAGATCAACCACAGTCAGATAATCCTTCAAGCAACCCAGATCCTTCTTAACTGGAGGTGCTTTCCCAAGGGATGAGGGACTTTCTTTCCCGGTGTGTAAATCACCAGAATTGAGTGATGTAGAAACTTAGTGGTAACAACACCATCATGATAGCCGCTCAACTTTAGCCTCCCCTTACTTCCTCACTATCAGTTTGATTGCTTGTATTTGTCAGGGCAGAGGGATGGGGGAGTGGGGTGATACAATCAGCTGTAGTCCCTTTTGTTGTATGTTTCTTGCTCCATTTACCCTCTTGGGGTCAAGGGAGGAAAGAGTACTCAGGTGCCCCACCCAATTTAGAATGTTACTTTTTATGTAGTGAATCTGGACACATTATCATTAATGGTAATTAGTAGGAATGCATCCTCTTTCTTCTTGCACTCTCAAAGAGTGAGATGTACTTTATTTACATTCATCTTTAGAGCATCTCTAACATTTTTCTCCCCAGGTTATCAAGAAAGAGAGTTGGAGCAGAGAAGGAAAGAGACAGCATGTTTGTGGCAGAAAGTTAAACTGAATGCAGAAAAAATAATTTGACCTGACTCCTTCCTAGAAGAGCCGTGTCCATAGGATCATAGAGGTGAAAAGGACCTCAGAGACTATCTAGTCCTACCCTCTCATTCTGCAAATGAGGAAACTAACCCCAGGGAGATTTTAAGTGACTTGCCCTAAGTCACATGTATTGTGAAAGTTTTTTTCTGGATCAGACTTCCCCTCCCCCTCTCAACTCTTAGAAGGGCTATTCACCTGGAAAATCACCATTTCAAACTTGATAGTAGCCTTTCTGTGTTCATTGTGTGGGAGTCAATTTGAATCATTTTTTAGGCCTGATCTGATCTGTTTGCTTTCTTGATTGTCCTTTTGGATTATACTGTCCCCATTAATAAGTCCTGTTTATATGAGTCAGATGGAATCCAAGTTCCATTCTTTCTCCTTCTGCCTGAGGAGAGACAAATAATAATAACAATATTGTCATCATTTATGTAGTGCTTTAAAGTTTGCACACTGTTTCATATGTATTACTTTAATTGTTGAGTTTCCTCTAGCAAGGATGGGGCTAATGGTAAGAGGAAGCCAGAAAGGACTTAGATTAGAGAAGCAGTGTTTATTCAGATGAAGAGGCATTTGGGCTGGGGCCTGCTGGAAATTTGCTAGAGGCAGACCTAGGAAAAGGAACAAGGAAGGACTATGAAAGTAGAGGACACAGGAAAATTAGATTGAGGGGAATGACAGACTTGTTGAGACCTAGGATAGGGCAAGATTATAATTTAATGAGCTATTGTCTTTTGTTTTAGAGGGACTGATGGATAGGGATCGAGAAAGGGGGTATCCCTCCACTTCAATAAGGCAAGAGAATAGACAGGGGGAAAAGGTTATCCTCAGAACCAGGAAGACCCAGTTCCTACCTAATCTAGCCCATAGGCCAGTGCCTTTGAGTCATATTTTGGGAGAAGGGAGACAACCAGCCAGAAAAGCACTCTGGGGCCCAATGTTTTGGCATCCAAATCTCTCCTAAAAATGAAAACAAGGGAGATTCTTTTCTCTTTGGGCTCAGCACCCAGCTGAAGGAAGCTACTAGGATTCAGGCAAGGTGAACTCCAAGTTTATGGAGGTAGACATGCAGAATGGAAAAGATAAAGAGGCCCATAGCAATTAGATGGGGCTCCAAAGTTAAAGCTAACAATGTCCACTCCCATATCTCACACTTAAGGAGAAAAATATTCCCTACAGAGTATGACCATGCAATCACTGAATTGTTCATACCCTTTGATCCTGTGATCTCACTACTAGGCATGCACACACACACACACACACACACACACACACACCCTCAAGGAAGTTAGTGACAGAAAGATCCTATAGATATTATACAAAATAATAGTAACATTCTGTGGTGACAAAAAACCAACAACAAAAAAATTGGAAAGAAAATGGTTGCCAATCAATTGGAATTGGAAAAGCTGAAGTTGTAGTATATGAATATAATGGAATGTTGTTGTGCTGTAAGAAATAGCCAATGTGAGACATTTGAAAAAAGTTGGAAGATTTGTATGAACTGATAAAGAGTCAAAAAATAAAACCAAGAGAATAACATACACAATGACTACAATAATGCAAATAAAACTTATACTGAAATGCAACCAAACATTAATTATAGCAACGAGTTTGGCTAATAACAAAATTCTTCCCTCCTCTCCGTGGAGGGTAAGGGACATAAGCTATTGAAGGGTCAATTTATTGGTTGGATTTTACCTAAAGGCTTTCTTTGTTTAAAGGGGAAATCTATGGTAGGCATTTAGGGGAGGACGGATGTTAAGAAATGACTGTAGTGTAAAGAACAAAAGTCACCAGTAAAAAAGCCAATAACGATCCTGTCTAATGCCAGACCAACTAATGGTTACAAAAACAGTTGAGGGATGAAAGGTAAACTACAAATGAGTTGATACTTAAGTAAAATCTAGGGACCAACATAAGATCGATATTGGGCATCAGGGGGTGGGGTTGGCATTCCAGAAAAAACAGCTATTAAAGAGCTGATATGCAGAGAGTTAGAAAGGTGGGTGTCAAAGGGATTGGTGAGTGACAGAGCATCCCCCATGGAGAAACTAAGAGATGTAGCACTTAGGTCATGGACATTAGGAACAAGAAGACCCAGATGGTGTGGCAGATGTTAAGATGTTAAGGAACAATATTGGGTATCAGTGATGGGGACCTGGCAGTCATCATGCAAGTCAACTCAAACAATACCAAACCTCAAGACTTGTGCCCCTGTAGCCTTACCACTTTCTGTGACATCCTTGCTCCAGGGCTCTGTCCTTTGTGAAAAGACAGAAAACTATTTGAGGAGTAGGGGTGGTTACGGAGGACAAGAAACCTCAGTTCAAGATTTTCCTTAGCATTCTGAGAACTATCTCCTGGAAAAGTGAGGCCATTTCTCCAATTATTATCGATTAGATATGGCTATTGAAAGCTTGAATTGCTTCCTTTGAGAACTGCGTATTCATATGCTTTGAGAATGGCTCTTGTTCTATATTTCATTCAATTCCTTATGTATCTTGTAATCAGACTTTTATTAGAGAAATTTGCTGAAAAGATTTTTTCTCAGTTAACCTTTTCCCTTCTAATTTTAAATGCGTTAATTTTATTTGTATAACAATTTTTCAGTTTATATAATCAAGATTGTCCATTTTATCTTCTGTGATTCTATCCTTTGGTCATGAATTCTTCCCCAATCCATAGTTGCTAAAAGTATTTACTTCTGTGCTCCTCCAATTTATTTAGGATGTAACCTTTTATATATAAGTTGGTGAAAAAGCAAAGAATACATGTGGGCAAACAAAACATATGAGCAAGGGTCAGGGTGATGGGCAGCACCTCCACTGCCTACGACTCTTCCCCTAAGGCCTTGTGTTTTCTCCTGGGGATAAATTGTGGTTGTTGTCACTGGCTAGGCTCCTGGTGGAAGGGCAGGAATGGTAGCCCTGGGCAGGGAGATCTCAGCCGTAGTATACCATGCTCCAGGTCAATACAGCACTATTGGGAAAGAGAATGGGAAGTTGAACCACCACATGGAAAAGCTACAGGGAGTGAGTCCTCCTCCTCATCCACAGACTTCTTCCCATAAAACAATTTCACCCAAACTTTCTGTGTCTACCTTTCCCCCACCCTTTTATCTTCTCTGTTCAGCCGAGATGATAATCACAGCCCCCACCCACTTCTTTCCAGCCTCTATTTTAGAAGGATTATCTCTTACTCTGAATTTCCATCTTGGGAGGGGGCTAGGTCCCACCTTCACACTTTACTTGGGAGAAAGCAGGCCAGGAAATAGTATAGTATCTGAGGAAGTGAAGCTTAGCTTTGAAACTAGAAATTCTGAGTCCTCATTCAGGGCTCCTCTTACCAACACCTCCCAAATCCCTATTTCTTCTTCCAGGGCATAAACTCATGCACCGGGTGCTACAGGGCAGGCCACCCTCTCCTATCTTACCTTGAGAGATATCAGTGTCTGCAGTCCCAGGCAAAATTCAGGACTCTCGTCATCTGTAGGAATGGAAGGGGCATAGAAAAAGCTGGCAGGTACCCCAAAGGTATCGCTACTTAACTCATCACCCAGATCTAGAAATGTTGTGAAAGAATGGGGACAGTAGGGCAGCTAGGTGGCACAGTGGATAGAGCACTGGCCCTGAAGTCAGGAGGACCTGAGTTCAAATCCAGCCTCAGACCAAATACTTGACACTTACTAGTGGTATGACCCTGGGCAAGTCACTTAACCCCAATTGCCTAAAAATTTAAAAAAAAAATTTTAATTAAAAAAAAAAGAATAAGAACAATGGGAACACCTATGCAGAGTGCCCTGCCTGTAGGGGATGGGAAGCATAATTCATGGGATTTTTTTTTTTTTGCCACAAAAAGAGAATGGAAGAAGAGATAGAGAAAGTGGAGAATCTGATAAAGTCCAAACTTACCAACCACCTGAGCAGAGCATGCCACCGTCTCTTGCCCTAACTGAAGCTCCAGCTGCTCCACATGGGTCAGGGGACCAGAAGCCTTTTTCCCACCTGGGGCTTTTAGGGCCCCCTCCCCTAGCCTGTAGTAGAGAAGCAATGGTTATGGCTAACCCAATTATTAGTCATCCCTCCCGCCAATCATTTGGTCTGCTGTCCATTTCCTGGAGTCCTACAGTATCTGAGGCTATGGCATGTCTACTATATACCCCCTCATACCTTCAGGGAATCATATTCTTACCCAAGACGACTGAGGCATCTAGCAGAGATTTGGTTGTGTTGAGTACCTGTATCCACTGCCACTCTTAATACCTGGTCCCGGCACTGGGAGAGAGGAATCCAAATGGACTGAATGAGTTGGGGTCAACTCCAGGAACTTCCCTTACCTCCATTCCTCTCTCCTCCTCCACCCCCTGCCAAATCAATGCTCTCGTTTTCAGAAGAGGGTGGAGGAATTTAATTGACTCCTCAATGAAAGAAAAAAAAGATTAAAATGGGAAAGCCAGGACTGGTACACATAAAAAGGTGGGATGAGAAGAGGAAAAGAAGCTGAATGCCATGCCATCACACATTTAGGAACTACTGAACCAGAAGATGGATATGGAATCAAAAGATGGGAAGATGGATATTTAGGGAACTGAAAGAAAGGTCTCTATTTGGGAAGAGGAATGAACTACTGGGAAAGAAACTTCATATTGGAAAGTCCTAAGGTCAGGTAGGGACACATCATTTGGAGATAGAGAGTGAGTTCAATCTCTTACATATATGTGCATCACACATATACACAGTGTACTTTCCTCACTTGCCACAGATAACTTCCTGATTTACCCACCATCAGCCATTTCTGTCTGTCATCATTACCTCTCCTCGTTTGACATTTACTCTATCTAAATTTATCATCCAATATAGATCTTGGTGGCTGTTACCTCCAAGATCCTTAGATTCTGTTTTTTCTCAAGTACTTCAATATCTGGCTCGCTGTCTTCCTCTCCACCCCAATTCCTCTTCAACATACATGTTATTGATGTTCCATTAAATACCCAGACTTCCCGTTTCCTGAATCTGCTCCCATAACTGACTCCTCTACTTCACCCAGCTAGACAGAGGATGGTCACACCCTTGATCTTGCCTTTACCCACTACAGTACCAACCAGGCCCTCAGTATAGGAAGGCAATCCTTTGACTTCTTAATGGATTCTCTATTCTATTTTCCAGAGAAGCTGTCACACACCTTCTCTTAAGCCTCCCATACCACCCTTGCCCTATTCTCACAAGTTTGCCTTACTTTTAGTTTATTGAAAAAAATGACTGTGTTGAGAACTCCCTTTTATCTCCTTTACATCTCACAACCCTTCACTTCAGCCCTGATAAAGAGGTGACTCTTCTTACCAAAGCTGTCCTCACTACAAGGCAGCTAAGTGATTCAATGTTTAGATCACTGGACCTGGAATCAAGAAGACTGGCCCCTGGATTTGAACTGAGCTACATAACTAACTATGTGAACCTACACAAGTCACTTAATGTCTTCCTGCCCCAATTTCCTCATCTGTAAAATGGCAATAATAATCCTTAACCAGGGTTATTAACTTAACCCCAATTGCCTTTAAAAAAAAAAAAAGGGCAATAATAACAGCATCTACCTCTCAAGTGTTGTTGTGAGGATAAAAAAAAGTGCTTTGCAAACCTTAAGTCACTTTATAAATATTAATAGTTATTATAAATCCTCATTTCATCTGCCCTCTTTACCAGAAGATCGTCCCAACAATCATCCCTCTTTCCCTAATATTCAGTCTCTCCCTATCTACTGGATCCTTGCCTGTTGCCTGCAGATTATCCCCACACATACACACCTTCTCAGGTAAATTAGAAAAGCTATCTACACTCTTATTCTCCTGTCACAAACTTCAGAAAGCTGGTTTCTAAACTCCATGCTCAATTGAAACTTCATTCCCCAGGGCTACTAGTGATCTCATAATTGCCATACCTGATGGCCTTTTCTCAATCCTCACCCTCCTTGACCTCTCTGAAACATTTGACACTTTTGACCATCCTTTCCTCCTGAATACTATCTTTTTTCTGAGTTTTAGTGACATTGCTCTGACGTGATTCTTCCCCTCTGCTGAGTGTTCTTTATCAGTCTTCCTTTAGGGTTCATCGTACATACCATCTTTTAACTGGGGGTGTGTTACCCCAAAGCTTTGTCCTTTGCTCTTCTTCTGTTGCTATGCTCCTTCTTGGTGACCTCATCAGCTCATATGGTTTTTATCAATGTTATGGGTGGTTTTTTAAATTACATGTAAAAACAATTTTAATACTAATTTTAAAAATTGTATTTAGTTCCAAATTTTCTCCCTTCATCCTTCCTTTAGAAGGCAAGCAATTTGATACAGATTATACATGGGCAGTCATGCAAAACATATTTCCGTATTAGCCATGTTGTCAAAGAAAACAGACAAAAAAAGTTTTAAAAAGTATGCTTTGATCTGATTCTGGAAGATTCTAGTTCTTTCTCTGGAAGTAGATAGCATTTTTCATCATGAGTCCTTTGGAATTATCTTGGATCATTATATGGCTGAGAGTACCCAAGTCATTCACAGTTGATCATCATACAAGATTGCTGTTACTGTGTACAGTGTTTTCCTGGTTCTGTTCACTTCATTTTGCATCTGTTCATATAAGTCCAGGTTTTTCTGAAATCATCCTGCTTGTCATTTCTTATAGCACAACACTATTCCATAATAATCATTATCAATATTATTTATGTTAATGACTCCCATATCTACATAGTAGCCATGGTCTTTCTCCTGAACTTCAGTTCCATATCACTAACTGTTTATTGGACATTTTAAATCAGATGTCCTATAGATATCTCAAATTAAACATGTCCAAAACAGAACTTGTCTTTTCTCCCAAAATCTCCCCTTTTCCAAATTTCTCAATTTTTGTTGAGAGCACAACTATCCTTCTTGTCATCCAAGTTTGTAACCTTAGTATTGGCTTTCAGACTCCTCATTCTCACCTCACATAACTAATCAGTAACCCAATCTCATCCTTTTCACCTGCACAACTTCTTTCATAGCTATCTATTTCTCTTCAACTCACACAGCTATCACTCTAACTCAGGACCTTAAACTCTCTCACCTGGACTATTTCAGTAACTTAACTGATCTGCCTGCCTCACAACCCTCTTCAACCCAATCCACCCTCCACAAAGTGGTCAAAACAATTTTTCCTAAAGAGCAGGTCTAACCTTGTTCTCTACTCCATAAGCTCCATTAGCTCCCTATTACTTATAGAGTCAAATATAAGTTCCTTTGTTTAACATTGGAAAGCCCTTTACAACCTAGTCCCAACCTCTCACAAACACTACAGATGCACTGGCCTTCCTACTTTTCCTCGCACACAATATTCCATTTCCTGTTCCTAGTTATAGTCTACCTTTCAGTAACCGTTCCCCCATGCCTGCAATGTGCTCCCTCCTTATCTTTACCACTTAGAATCACTAGTCTCCTTCCAGGCTCAGTTCAGGGACCACCTTATACATGAAACCATTTCAGATTCCCCCAGCGGCTAGTGCCTTTCCCCCAGAATTCCCTTGCATTTGTTGTTTTTGTTCAACAGCATAATGTATTACATCAAACTCTTCCATTGTAAACAGCTGTACCCAGTGCTGGCATACTGCTGAAGTCCTTAGTTTAAAAGGAACACACTAAAGGCAGCAGTTTTGCTTTAGGCTAGATCTTCTCATAATGAAATTTACTCTAGTGTCTGACTTGCAAAGACTGTCACGTCAGTAATATGTCATGCCACATTGTGAATACATGGCAAACATACAACTTTAATTTCTACCCTTCTGCTTTATTCCCTTATAGTAGACAAAAGCTTTAGTCAAAGAGAAGTAACTTCTCCACATCCAGGATCTTCTGAACCCTGGAAAGGATATTTGTCTGGTATTGTCTTATGCTTCCCAGGTTAGGAAGGTGCTAAATATTACTGTTTGACAGAAACAGGGGCATTTAAACAGTTTTCTACTAGACACCTCTTCAGGACTTAAGTGTAGACAGGAATGGAAAAAAAAATAAGGGGAAATCCAAGTATCCTTTCAAAAACCCTGCATCATAGCCAATCGTTAACAAATAAGGACAGAATTGGATGAATGGACATGCAGAGCTATATCTAACAGCTGTGAACAGAAAGTGTTCAAACATTAGTGATTTTGTCAGAAGGAATGAATCTGCTGCCCCACATTGTCCTTAATGCCACCCTTCCACTTAGAGGAATCACCACATGAGTTGTGCTGCCATTTTGTAGAGACATTTAGAGACAGCCTTCAGGAAAACTACATACGGTATAAGTGATCACATGAAGTCAGAATATCTCATGGCCATCCCCCTCTTGCTTGGCACCTGCACTATGAATAACATTTTGAAGAGCAGATTCAGTATGAGCTCCATCTTCATAATACTGCCCAGCCTCTTTGGATTCCCGTCAGATACTGGAAAATCTTACTCAGGAAGAGATCATTCCCTTAGCACAGGGGTTCTTAACCTGTTTTATGTCATGCCTTACTCCATTCCCCCACCCCCAACTTTTGGCAGTTTGGTAAAGCTTCAGAATAATGTTTTTAAATGCATAAGATAAAATACATAGAATTACAAAGGAAATTGATTATTCTGAAATTCAGTTAACAAAATATTAAGAAAAAACAAAGTCATGGACCACCTGTAATTTATCCATGGACCCTTGGGAATCTGTGGATTCCAGATTAAGAACCCTGCTAGCTAGTTAATGCTGATTTTTTTTTTTAGACCCTTGGGAATCTGTGGACTCCAGATTAAGAACCCTGCTAGCTAGTTAATGCTGATTTTTTTTTAGACCCTTGGGAATCTGTGGACTCCAGATTAAGAACCCTGCTAGCTAGTTAATGCTGATTTTTTTTTTAGACCCTTGGGAATCTGTGTACTCCAGATTAAGAACCCTGCTAGCTAGTTAATGCTGATTTTTTTTTGGACCCTTGGGAATCTGTGGACTGCAGATTAAGAACCCTGCTAGCTAGTTAATGCTGATTTTTTTTTTAGACCCTTGGGAATCTGTGGACTGCAGATTAAGAACCTTGCTAGCTAGTTAATCCTGGTTTTTTTTAACTCCTGGAAGGTATTTGGGGATTATGTCAGTTGTTTCTATTGCATGAGTCTTAATAGAGTGTCTGATCGAATTTCATGCCCAAGCTTGCTAATTGATAACCAGTTAGTTCAGCCTTTTCCTGACCCAATTCAATCAGAGTTTGATCCTTATCAAGGGAGCCAGATCCTCTAGAGTGGGATGGCTTTGAAGTTAATCTAGTTTGGATGCCAGCCTCTCCTTTTTAGTTTCTGCCTTTCTTTTCCTTCAGTTATAAGAAACCATTGTTATCGTTTATCCCACTTTGGCACCTACAACCAAAAAGAGCTCCTAGCGGCAGGCTGCCAGCGTTAGCCCCTGCCAGAACGCTACCCCACAAGGGCATCCTACTGGGCTTTGGCCCCAGCTGGGTGGCCTCCTGCTATCACCTCCTCAGTTGCCAAAGATGTGCAAGTGCTTTTCCCTTGTATCTGCTTTGAACATATCTGTTTTTATACATGTTGTCTCTCTAGACTAAATTGTAAGCTCCTAGAAGGCAGGGACTACAGTTTCACTTCTGTCTTTGTATCCCGAGAGCTTACCATAGTGCCCAGCACATGACTGGTAAATACTGATATGAACTTTGAATTATTTTTCTATAATAAGAGCCAATATTTATATAGTGCTTTGGTGTTGTATGTATATCACTCCTTTGATTCTCACAGTAATCCTTATCATCCCAATTTGGTTGGGACATCATGCTAATGTGATCACCTATACTGTATGTAGTTTTCCTGAAGGCTGTCTCTAAATGTCTCTACAAAATGGCAGCACAACTCATGTGGTGATGCCTCTAAGCAGAAGTTAAGTGACTTGTCTAGGATGACATAGCTAATAAGTGAGGTAGGATTCAAACTCAGGTCCTTCTGACTCCAAGTCCAGCATTCTGTCCATTCACTACGCCACCTGGAGAAGTGAAGAGTTTGTAATATATACCTGCCAAAAAAATTCTGCTAATATGTAGGTCTGAATTCCCTTAGTCAAAAACCTCTAGGGATTCCCCAGTGCTTACAAGATAAAATATAATTCTTTATTCTGGCATTTAAATTATGCCACAACCTTGTTCCAACACATCTTTCCCACCTGATTGCACAATATTCCCCTTCATATACTGCATATTCCATATATATATATACATATATATATATATATATATATATGTTCACAGTCATATGAGCCATTCCTTAATTTCATCTCCTATGCCTGCAGTGGATTCTTGTTAAAATCCTTTCCTTCCTTCTCAAGGGCCACTTCTTCTATGAAGCCTTCCTTATCCCTTCAGTTGGAAATTGGCCTTCCTTCTCTAAATGTTTCATGTTTCAGTCAGAAATGAGCCCTCCTTCTCTGAATTTTTCATGCCTCTCTTTGTTTCATCCTAAATTACACAATTTGTACAAGTCATAACTCCTCTATTAGATTGGAAGATCCTTGAAGACAGGAACTCTCTTCCTCGGTGACCTCATCAACTCACAAGGGGTTTAATTATTGTTATGCTCATGACTTCCAGATCTTTGTACAATATCTGGTCCTGCTCTGTCTCCTGAGCTCCAGTCCCACATCATCATTTTTCATCTTTGTATGCCCAGAGATGAGGATGGAGCTTTCTACAATTTGTTAAGCTCCAACTATCCACATATCTATCAGATTGACAAAATTGACAAAAAAGGAAAATAACAAATGTAGCAGAGGCTTTGCTTAAACTGGTTCATTAATGCACTTTTGGTAGGACTGTCAACTGGTCCAGCCATTCTGTAAAGCAATTTGGAACTTTGCCCAAAACATCACTAAACTGTTCATACCCTTTAACCCAATAATGCCATACTACTAGACCTATGCCCTAAAGAGTTAAAAAAAAAATGAAAAGGACCCATATGCATAAATATATTTGTAGCAGCTCTTTGTGTTATGGCAAAGAAGTAAGGAAGTGTTCATCAATTAGGAAAGAAATAACTGAACACATTATAGTATGTGAATGTAAAGGAATATTATTATGCTGTAAGAAATGATGGAAAGTACTGTTTCAGAGAAACCTGGAAAGACTTGTATAAACTGAACCAAGGTGAACAGGAGAACAACTTATTTAGTAACTTTGCAAAGACAAACAACTTTGAAAGACTTAAGAATTCTGTTCAGTGCAATGATCAATCACTACTCCAGAGGACTGATGATGAAGAGTGCTACCTCACCTCTGGTAGAGAAGTGACGGACTCAAAGGGGCAGAACAAAGCTTGTTTTTATACGGCCATTATGGGAATTTGCTTTGTTTGATGACACATTTAGTTATAAAGATTTTGTTTTTCTTTTTTTTCAATAGAAAGGGGAGTTGAAAGGAAGTGTTAATGAAAAAAAGTCAGAGGACAGATCTAATTATGTATATGTGTGTATCTGTGTGCATGAATACATACATACATACATATGCACATACATATGTATGTGTATAATGGAGCCTATATAGATATATAATCCTGCCCTCTGAAATGAATCCACACACAATCATGTATACACGTGTACACAATCCACAAATGAAAACCGGAGACTATTCACAATATGCATGCATGTATATTATATGTTTATACATAATATACCCATGTACACATGCATATGTGTGTATGCATACATGTGTACATATATACACCTACATACATACTCTATAGGTTTAATTAGGGCAAGGGGGAAACAGCAGGTGTGGGGGGCAGCAGGAGTGGTAGAGGCCGAGAAGAAAGAAAATCTTTCCATCTTCTGAGTCTAGACTAAGAGAAAAATCTGAGGAGAGCTTCTTACCCTCCTGGAGGCACAGAGGGAAAGAGGGTAGAGACATTCCCAGACAGTTGAACCCTTCGAGGGGTCGACTTCTAGTTAACATGATGATGGTCAGGGGCTCCCCTCACCTTGCAGTGAACAAGAAGACCTGGAGTCTCCTTTCTGTTGGTTTTCCGACTGCTCTTTGCTCCATGAACTTGGCCCCTAACCAAGGAGGACTCCCCAAGAAACTGGTCCAGGTTCCCCTCCATCAGGCGACGCTGGATCACGCTGTGTGGCTGCTGGCTCCAGCATGAGGCAATAGGGCAAGAGTTAAATGCAGGTGTCTGGGCCTCCCCATCCCTAACCCTACCCCATTCTGAAGGCTAGATGTGAAAAGGGGACAAATAGGAAAGAATAAGGAATGGAGAGTCACAGACAGGAAAGGGATGGAGTTTCCCTGGGATACACAAAAAACCCTGGTAACTGAGGTCAGTGAATCATAGGACCAAAACATATTCCCTCTCTACTCTGTCAAAACCAGGTAGAATGGGACTGGGAGAGAATGCAGTGAAGAAATGATGAAAAGTTAATCATCAATCATCTCAATGGTCAAACTGGCTAATTAGGCAAGGAGGTTTTCATTCCGGGGATCATCTCTGTCAGAGGCTTTGTCCCCAGCTTAGGGTTTCTGCAAGAATGAGGTTTCTCTGAATAGGTTTTGAACTTGGAAGACTCTCCTTCCCTCTTCATCTTCCCTTCTTACCCTCCCTTTGGGCTATTAGGGAATATTATGAAGGTAGGAGATATCAGTGGCTCTCTTCTCCCTCCCCTCACTCTTCCTCCCCTTCACCTGCTCTCCTAGCCCAGCTCCTGGGACTGTTTATTTCCCAAGGTTTAATGAGGCCCCTGAGGGCTGCTCCCTGACAGCTGGACTGATAGGAACACTAGCTCTGGGAAAAGGGCAAAGAGCTTTTGGGGGCTGGCATCAGAGCTATCCCTTTATGTCTCCCAGCCTTTCCCTCCCACCTTTCCCACGGATGCCTGGGCCCTTTTCCCATGGCTCACTGCGATTCAGTTCACCAACCAGGCTAGGTAGAGAGCTCAAATGCTATCTTTTTCTTCCCTCCCAACTCTTTCTCCAAAATACAGCCCCAGTACTCAAAGTCCTGAAACAATGAGGCATATTGGGAGTGAGGGGCTACAGGCCCCAGAGTTTCATCAGGTGGCTTGGCCAGTTCCCCTCTGTATTACTGTTGCCTGCAGGCTGTTAGCAGCATGACTGAATTCTATTATTTAAACGAATCTACCTATCCCAGTTGCCTATCTACAAGGGGAGAAGACGGTCCCTATCCAGAAACTCCCTAATTTTATGAAATCTCAGATCCAGACTAAAAAAAATGAATCAAAACCTGTCCCCGTCTTAGAGAATGGGATAGCTTCTGATGGGATAAATGAGTATCCTGCCCCAATCTCTGGGAGGGAACTAGTAAATATAAGTAGCTTTATCCCTTCCTTCTGGCTCCAACTTAAACCTCCCAAATACTTTGGCGATTTGAAATCTGAATCCTCTTACCTTTTTCCTTTGGTGACTAAAAGAGATTTGGAGGGGGAGGGCAAGGACCAGAAATTGAGTGGTACACAGAGGAGGTTGGTGAGTTGGCAACAGTTCTGGGCTAGGGTTCTTGGCTTACATTCTAGCAATAGGGAGCCAGGGCCTTCTGGCAAAGGCCCCTAGGGATTGAGCATGAAGGGCCATGAGAAACTCCCACTCCTTTCATCTCTGTAAGGAGGAAGTTGTAACAAGAGGGCCATAACTCACTAGAATACCTTTTAGGCATAGGTTCTCAACTTGGAATCTTGTTTTTAACATTTTACTAAATGTATTTCAATATAATTGGCTTCTTTTGTAATCCTATGTATTTTATTTATGCATTCAGAAACATTATTCTGAGAAGGGGTCAATAGGTCATGACTGCCAAAGGGGTCCCTGACACAAAGCATCCCTGTTTTTAGGTTACAGTAATTGTTCTGACAGTTCTCCTAGGTATTTGGTAATATCTCCAGGGCAATTGAGTAGGGGTATAGATAGGAACAGAGGGAGCAGCTAGGGGGCTGGCCCTCCCATGTATATGGTTCCATCATCCTCATCCTCTTCTAGCTCTTTTGACGTGACTTCTATTGCATTCCTTTATATTTTCTTGACATAAGCCTTCCTAGGTCTGAAGCCAGCCCTTCATTCCTTATCATCCAGTCCACATAGATTTCCCAGAGCTTCCCAAAGCTGACTTCTTCCTGGTTTATAAGGACAGCGGGAAAAGCAGAGAAACCCCTTACCCTCCCCCTTTCAGCTGCTTTCCCCCCTAAAATCAGCAGTTTCCTAAGATGCCTCTTCCAAGCGATGACTGTAAACAGAAAATAATACCTCTGAGCCTGGGGAGGAATGATTAGGACTAAGTAAGAACGGAAAAGCAAGGAGGCCAGTAACCTGAGCAAATGACAGCCCAAACTCTGATATCTAGGAGCATGGAAAGTAGAAAAGGCTGCTGAAGAGCCAGGGTGGTGGTCCTTAGGTAATTCAGGAGAGAGGAGAAATTACCTCCCTGAATTGGTCAGTCCCAGCCTTCTCCTTTGTATTCCTTCTTCCCCTTTACTGATCCCAAGCTTCCAGGCATCTCAAGGGGCATTCCACCTTAGAAGGGATTTTTTTTTTCTTCTTCAGGCCTCCCACACCTGCCCTAGCATCCCTCCCAGGCTTGCCTGGACTCTCCTTTCACTAGTTTGGAATTATTAGGATCAAAGGCAAGATGCTGAACCAGTAATAAGTCCTCACCACCCTCTCCCTCCCCAATAGAGGGGCTATCTCCAATGGACTCCTGATAAACAGGCAAAGTAAATACCCCAAAGTTGGTGGGATTGCCCCATCCTTACTTTAAGTAAGGGTTGAATCTCAGAGAGTAGGTCTGGTGGCCCCCACTCCTTATGAGATGGACCTGAGCACCTTCCTGGGACCGAGAAGCAAAGGACCCAATGGGGCAGGGGAAAGGTAGGGGCATGGGATGTCTCACCAGATCCTTGGAGGTGCCAAGCCTCTTGAGACTGTCCAATGGAAGTAGGTCAGCAGAGTCTTTGTGGATGAACTGGGTAGCCTGTTTGAGCCTCCGCTCCTGGCTCAGGTGGGCTCTGTCCCGCAGCTCAGTTTCTCGTTCCCTCCTGCCCACGTTGCCATCACTTCTTTCAGCCTTCTGTCTAGCAGCGCTCATGGCTCTGGGAGAGGGTGGCTGAGGTTGGGGGATGGAGGAGATGTGTGGAAATTTCTACGGCACTCCCCACCCCTTCTTCCAGTTACCCCCCTGCTCCGGGATTCTCCCACCTCTTCACGCACAATCTGTCTCTCCCCAACTCTCCTCCCCTACTGCAGGTTCCTCTCCGTTTTCCTCTCCCTGACTGCAGCGTTTCTTTCTCTGACTCAAAGGGGTCCGCTGGTACAGAAAAAAGGAAATAAATAAGCGAATAAACAAACAAATAAATAAATAAATAAATAGATGATGTGCAGGAGCAGCCGCGGTAGACAGTGGTGGTTTCCAGTGATTGCGGTAGAGAGAGTGAGGCTCCAGCTGGAAAAACCCAACCATAGAGAGAGGGAGGGCTGGTGGGCCCTGAAGACCGCAGCAGTCCAGCCAGCTTGTCTATTTCCTGGGCACTGGCCAGAGGGGCTTGGTTGGTATAACGATGGACCGGGGGCAGGGGTGCTGAAGGGCCGTGGGTGATTATGAAAACCTGTTGGGATGTTCTTGGCAGGTTTGTTGTAAGTGTGACCTCCCCTGTCTGCCTCTTTGCTAGGATGTATGTGCTGTGGGATGTGTGCCAGTGTATATCCCTAGTTCTGCCCTTTGCAATGACAGGGTGAGGGTGACTGATTTTCTTCCCAAGGGATGGACAGATGCTGCCTCTCTGTGGGGCTGTATTGCAGCTTGGTAACTCTGTAGGAACCTGGGAGTTGGAGAACGAGAGGATCTGTCCTAGATTCAGAAAATCACTAGCAACTAAGAAAGGGGGTGGATTTGAAGACACCCTTCCTCTTGTCTTCCTTCCCTCTACTCCCCTCCACCAAGCACAAGGGTATATGTCTGAAGAAGAAAGATTACTCCTTCATACTTCCGTTCTTTCATCGAAGCAGATGCCAATTCAATTCACCAAGTCTGTTTTAGGTTCCTACTACATGCAAGGCACTGTGCTAGGCCCTAGGGAGATAAAGCTGGCTGGGAGGGGGCAGGGACTAAGCACTGTGCTAAACACGTTACATGATCTTTACAATAACTCTGTGAGGTGAGTGCTTTTTTTTTATCTACATTTTACAGTTGAGAAAACTGAGACAGAGAGAGGTTAAGTGACTTGCCCAGGATTGCATAGCTAGTAAGCATCTGAGGCCAGATTTGAACTCTGAAGGCCAACGCGGGTGGGTAGAACATTCCAACCACTGGGGACAACCTGGGCTAAGATAAAATATCGTCCAAAGTTGGCTAGTTTGAAACACAGTATTAGGGTAATGTGAAATCGTCCTGGAGAGAAAGATGGAGCAAGATTGTTAATGGCTTTAAACGACAGGTAGAACAGTTTGTATTTTATCTCAGAGACAGTAGAGACCCACTGAATCTTCCAGAACAGGGAAGGGAGTGGCACAATTAGGGCTAGGAATATTAATTTGACAACTCTGTGGAGGTGCTGGAGAGGAGAAAGACTTGCCGCAAAGAAGACCATTTAGGGGGTTATTGCAGTAACCCAAGCAATGGGTGATCAGGGCTAGAATTAGGTAGGTTATGATGAGTGGGGGAGATAGTGTGGAGAGAGAAGCTACAGGATTTGGAAACTAAGTGAACGAAAGTGAGAAGCTGAAAATGGCTTCAAACCTGAGTGATGAGAAGGATGTTGGTGCCTTCGACAGAAAAGGGGAAGCTAGAGGTTAAATGAGTTCTGCTTTAGATAAGTTGAATTTTCAATGTCTCCAGAATTTTTTCAGATTAACTTCAAGACATCTCCCACTTCTACTTGTGAGGTTGATTTTCTTTAACCCAACAGTGAAATTTTATGTTTATCCAGGGGTGTGGTGGAGACAATTATTAATTAAGCTTTCATTGTGAATGTTTACATCTTGGAAATGGGCAAATCCTACAAATCAGGACTTGATTTATTGTTTCCTTGATTTTCTAGGCTTAAGAAAGTGATAGAAAAAGTGTTAATAATACAGATTATACTTAAAAGTGTTTCCTGCTTACAATTATCATCATTATCATTTGGAGACCTGGTTGTTAAACATTTACACTCATTTATCTCTATTTCATCCTATTCAGTTTGGTCCAATGTTCCAATATGTCAAGATCTTTTTGAAACATGACCCTATTATCCATTGTTTAGCTCTCTCCGAGTTCTGTGTCATCTGACAAATTGATATGTGTGCTTTTGCCTTTTTTCCACAGCATTGAGAAAATGTCAGACAGAACAGGGACAAACACAGGTCCCTGAGACGCACCACTGAAAATCTCTTTCTAAGTTGACTTTGAACCATTAATAACTACTTTCTGGGTCAGGCTTTTGAGTCATTTCCAGATCAGTCTGATTGTCCCACCTTTCTCTGTCTCTTCCACAAGAATGGCATGAGAGATTTTATTGAATGTTTTGCTAAAGTAGAGGTAAACTATACAACTTTGCCTGATCTTCCAGTTTGGCAACCCTGTCAAAAGCAGAAACAAAGTTAGTCTGGTAATGACCTGTTCTTACTCTTTGTAATCACCACTTCTTTTTTCTAAATGCTGACTATCCCTTTAATAATACCTTTTAGAATTTTGCCAAGAATGGAAGTAACCTGAAGTTTATGAATTCCATTGACTTCCTTTCTGTGAAAAAGTAGGATGACATTTGCCTGTCTCCAATCCTGTTTTACTTCTCATGATCCTAGTCTTCATGACTTTTTTTAAAGATACATATGTGTGTGTGTGTATATATATATATCTTTATATTGCTTTATATATTGCTTTTTTTGGTGAGGCAATTGGGGTTAAGTGACTTGCCCAGGGTCACACAGCTAGTAAGTGTCAAGTGTCTGAGGCCACATTTGAACTCAAGTCCTCCTGACTCCAAGGCTGGAGCTCTATCCACTGCGCCATCTAGCTGCCCCACCTTCCCGACCTTTTAAAAGTCAATGATAGTAGCTCAGCAGTCATACCTTCCCAAGGATCTAGTTCACCTAAGTCAGGTAACTTGAGCAGATCAAGATGAGGAAGCTAGGGGCTATTCTACTATTTCCTTTCAGATCTCTGATTTTTGGGATAATTATCCTGGGCAAGCTCACTTTCACATTACTTTTTCTATGTATTTACATGTGTCAATACTTCAAGATCAAGATTTGCGAGGTAGGGGTCTCATTCTCTACCCATGCACGTTGTAACCTCACCATAATTTAGTTGATGGTCTTTGAGAGTTGATGTGGACTAAAATTTGATCACCCTGTGACCAACCTGATAATGAGCCTCTCTAAAAATAGTTTCACTGTCCCTTGGATAACAGACTCACAATCCATCACCAGGCCAGTCTCTTGCTAGACCTGCTGGGCAGAATCTGCTAGAATTTATGTTCTGCTAGCTTAGCCTGCTATCTCCACCCTCACAGAAGTGGACTCATTTATATATAGTAATACAATGTGCCTAAGATGGGATGGAGAAGTGCCACCATTAGCTAGCCTAGTGAAATATTATATGGTTGTGTAGACAAGAGGTAGAAAAGGAAAAAGAGAGGCATCATGGTGCATGCAGTGGACAGAGAACCAATCTCATATTAAAGAAGACCTGTTTTGGGGGTGGGAAGGGAGGAAGGGAATGAATGTTAAATGAATGTTAAAATGAATGTTAAAATTGTTTTTATGTGTAACTGTGGAAAAAATAAAATAAAAAATAATAAAAATAATAAATAATAAAAAAAATAAGACCTGGTTTCAAGTCTTACCTCTGACACATAATAGCTATGTGATCCTGGGCAAATGACTTAACTTCTCCCCAAATACTGTAAGTTGCAGAACTATGAAGAGTCAGCATCTGCCTCTAACATTTACTATCTATGTGACCTTGGGCAAGTCAATTAACCTAAGCCTCAGTTCCCTCATCTATGAAATAACTTTAACTATGTTTTGTTAAAAGGAAGTGCTTTTATTTTTGTGGGGGAGAATTGTACGTTTATGTGGAGTAGTGGATAGTGATAGTGATGCAAAAAAGAAAATGAAGAAAAAAAGAAAAATGAAACTTTTTTTTTTGGTTTTTGCTAGGCAATGGGGTTAAGTGACTTGCCCAGGGTCACACAGCTAGGAAACTTTTTTTTTAAAACAGGAAGAGATCAGAAGGAAGCTCAGGACAAGGCACAGACAAGCAGGATACTGTTGATACTATCATGTTAAATTAAATATATGTATAACCCAGGTTTCCATTTAAACCTGAAACATTTTTCATGAGACTCTCTTAATTGGTGGAGAGAACGTTGATTCAAGAATGTAGGCATTAGGGGCAGTTGTTGAGTTTTGGAGAATTCTTCATTCCTTCTTCAAGAAAGGACAGGCATAGTTTCAGACTCTTAGGGACTAAATCCAGATGTATGGAGAAAGGGAGACTTTGGAAGGCAGACATGTAGGAGAAGCTAGCATCTTAACATGACACTGATTTTTCAATTGCTTTCCCCTAGAGCAAGGGTGGGGAACCTGAGGCCTTGAGGCCACATGTGGCCCACTAGTCCTCAGGTGCAGCCCTTTGACTTCTAGGTCCTCAAGTGCAGCCCTTTGACTGAAGATTCCATCAAAGGGCTGCACTTGAGGACCTAGAGGACCACATGTAGGTTCCCCACCCTTGCCCTAGAGACTTTAGGAAATTGTCCTTTGGGTCAGATCATAGTCTCTCTTGCGTTTGGGTTGAACAGCTTGTATCCATCAAAAGAATTCATTCATTTCGTGTATTTTCTGGCATATTCTAATCCATAGAACTCCAATTTCTCTCTGCTATTTACTTGGAAAAATGGATTCACTGGATTTCACTATTTGTAATGATCTTTTGTGTAACTAGCATTTAGTGGGAAGGAATCGAGCCTTAGGCTGTAAGCTTGAGAAACCCTCCCCATCTAAGAGATAGTATCCAGAAAAGCAGCTTTTTGAACCTAAAAAAAAAAAAGAATCATGTCCCTAGACCAGAAATGTCTTCTAAACATGATTCTAATCCAGTCCTCCCTCAGAGGAGAACACCTCATGGTCCCTTGGTCTGCTCTCCTCAAAGCAAGAATCAAAGTCTCTTTTAGAGAGGAGTGAAAAAGATCCTAAAGATAGCTATATATGTTACTTAAAACTGCTTGTTTATGTGTTTAGACATCTTATGTGGATATATAAATGCATATGGCCAGAACATATCCTACATATACTTTTTCAACAAACTATGTTATATAGTTCAGCATTTCATATGCAATTGTCTTTTATTATTCTTTGTCTAGGAATGGGGTGGGGTGAAGTGTTGTTAGACTTGGCTTAGGAGGAGAGCCTTCATGAGTCCTACTACTCCTTAAAAAAAATTTTTTTTTGTCTTTCTGAATTTCATAATCAACAATATGAACATTTCCATACATAAAGAATAGAAACTGAATCTATTACATACACACACACTTATTTTTTAAAGTATAGAATAAATTCAGTATGTTCTTTTCAAGCTATTCTACTTGTCTA